AAACGTGGTCAGTATAATGACCGCAATTTGTTATTGTGTGAGGTGTCCGATTCATGGACGCGATCAATGCTGACCACGTGAAACTGGCTACTTGAGCAGGCGCGGTCAATTCGACCACAGAAATTCTGTCTAAGCACTAGCGCTACATTTGGTTTAATTGTTCTGTTATTTGTGCTGTATCACAATCGATTGTTATTCAGTGAGAAAAAATAACGCATTTCATATAGTCAATATATTTTCACTTCTGACAATTGTGGTAATGCTTTCTGGCATAGCTGCCAAAACGATCCGATATGATGGACAACGGTGCTCATTTCCAATGTCGTTCCATGAGCGTTTCTCAGCGCTCAATTATCATACCACATCATGCACATTTTTCAGCTTGACGTAGTTACAACGAACCAGGAATGAATGGAACGTGAGGAAACGGAATGAAGCTGTGTTGAAATGTTGAGAGAATTTTGAACGTGCTGCACATTTTACAAAGCCGACTGAATAATTGCTATCCTTAGAATCTATGATATGATCCGACCAAGAGATAAGTATCACAGAACAGTTTACAGCTTAGTTTAGTATCATTGTTTAAGGACACGTCACGATAAGAATATTTCTGTTCTAATTTAGTAAATGTTGTTTTTGTCATGATGACCTTGTTACAGAAGGACGGATAACGGCACCCCTTCCATTGTTTGTGTGTGCTTGTGGCACTTGCTTGCGGTTATGTGACGTTAAAGAAAACAATTCTCAGTGGCCTACACACACAGAAGTTTAGTTTCAGTGATTAGTGCTACAACAGACAATGCACTTCTGAACCTTGAAATTTTATACTAACCACTGTGCCATAAACCTTTTCAAATGTAATACGATGGAAATTTTTCTACTTCTCACCTGAGCTTATCTGACACTTTACATTGTATTCAATGAAACGTGGTCAGTATAATGACCGCAATTTGTTATTGTGTGAGGTGTCCGATTCATGGACGCGATCAATGCTGACCACGTGAAACTGGCTACTTGAGCAGGCGCGGTCAATTCGACCACAGAAATTCTGTCTAAGCACTAGCGCTACATTTGGTTTAATTGTTCTGTTATTTGTGCTGTATCACAATCGATTGTTATTCAGTGAGAAAAAATAACGCATTTCATATAGTCAATATATTTTCACTTCTGACAATTGTGGTAATGCTTTCTGGCATAGCTGCCAAAACGATCCGATATTATGGACAACGGTGCACATTTCCAATGTCGTTCCATGAGCGTTTCTCAGCGCTCAATTATCATACCACATCATGCACATTTTTCAGCTTGACGTAGTTACAACGAACCAGGAATGAATGGAACGTGAGGAAACGGAATGAAGCTGTGTTGAAATGTTGAGAGAATTTTGAACGTGCTGCACATTTTACAAAGCCGACTGAATAATTGCTATCCTTAGAATCTATGATATGATCCGACCAAGAGATAAGTATCACAGAACAGTTTACAGCTTAGTTTAGTATCATTGTTTAAGGACACGTCACGATAAGAATATTTCTGTTCTAATTTAGTAAATGTTGTTTTTGTCATGATGACCTTGTTACAGAAGGACGGATAACGGCACCCCTTCCATTGTTTGTGTGTGCTTGTGGCACTTGCTTGCGGTTATGTGACGTTAAAGAAAACAATTCTCAGTGGCCTACACACACAGAAGTTTAGTTTCAGTGATTAGTGCTACAACAGACAATGCACTTCTGAACCTTGAAATTTTATACTAACCACTGTGCCATAAACCTTTTCAAATGTAATACGATGGAAATTTTTCTACATCTCACCTGAGCTTATCTGACACTTTACATTGTATTCAATGAAACGTGGTCAGTATAATGACCGCAATTCGTTATTGTGTGAGGTGTCCGATTCATGGACGCGATCAATGCTGACCACGTGAAACTGGCTACTTGAGCAGGCGCGGTCAATTCGACCATAGAAATTCTGTCTAAGCACTAGCGCTACATTTGGTTTAATTGTTCTGTTATTTGTGCTGTATCACAATCGATTGTTATTCAGTGAGAAAAAATAACGCATTTCATATAGTCAATATATTTTCACTTCTGACAATTGTGGTAATGCTTTCTGGCATAGCTGCCAAAACGATCCGATATTATGGACAACGGTGCACATTTCCAATGTCGTTCCATGAGCGTTTCTCAGCGCTCAATTATCATACCACATCATGCACATTTTTCAGCTTGACGTAGTTACAACGAACCAGGAATGAATGGAACGTGAGGAAACGGAATGAAGCTGTGTTGAAATGTTGAGAGAATTTTGAACGTGCTGCACATTTTACAAAGCCGACTGAATAATTGCTATCCTTAGAATCTATGATATGATCTGACCGAGAGATAAGTATGACAGAACAGTTTACAGCTTAGTTTAGTATCATTGTTTAAGGACACGTCACGATAAGAATATTTCTGTTCTAATTTAGTAAATGTTGTTTTTGTCATGATGACCTTGTTACAGAAGGACGGATAACGGCACCCCTTCCATTGTTTGTGTGTGCTTGTGGCACTTGCTTGCGGTTATGTGACGTTAAAGAAAACAATTCTCAGTGGCCTACACACACAGAAGTTTAGTTTCAGTGATTAGTGCTACAACAGACAATGCACTTCTGAACCTTGAAATTTTATACTAACCACTGTGCCATAAACCTTTTCAAATGTAATACGATGTAAATTTTTCTACTTCTCACCTGAGCTTATCTGACACTTTACATTGTATTCAATGAAACGTGGTCAGTATAATGACCGCAATTCGTTATTGTGTGAGGTGTCCGATTCATGGACGCGATCAATGCTGACCACGTGAAACTGGCTACTTGAGCAGGCGCGGTCAATTCGACCATAGAAATTCTGTCTAAGCACTAGCGCTACATTTGGTTTAATTGTTCTGTTATTTGTGCTGTATCACAATCGATTGTTATTCAGTGAGAAAAAATAACGCGCTACATATAGTCAATATATTTTCACTTCTGACAATTGTGGTAATGCTTTCTGGCATAGCTGCCAAAACGATCCGATATTATGGACAACGGTGCTCATTTCCAATGTCGTTCCATGAGCGTTTCTCAGCGCTCAATTATCATACCACATCATGCACATTTTTCAGCTTGACGTAGTTACAACGAACCAGGAATGAATGGAACGTGAGGAAACGGAATGAAGCTGTGTTGAAATGTTGAGAGAATTTTGAACGTGCTGCACATTTTACAAAGCCGACTGAATAATTGCTATCCTTAGAATCTATGATATGATCCGACCAAGAGATAAGTATCACAGAACAGTTTACAGCTTAGTTTAGTATCATTGTTTAAGGACACGTCACGATAAGAATATTTCTGTTCTAATTTAGTAAATGTTGTTTTTGTCATGATGACCTTGTTACAGAAGGACGGATAACGGCACCCCTTCCATTGTTTGTGTGTGCTTGTGGCACTTGCTTGCGGTTATGTGACGTTAAAGAAAACAATTCTCAGTGGCCTACACACACAGAAGTTTAGTTTCAGTGATTAGTGCTACAAAAGACAATGCACTTCTGAACCTTGAAATTTTATACTAACCACTGTGCCATAAACCTTTTCAAATGTAATACGATGTAAATTTTTCTACTTCTCACCTGAGCTTATCTGACACTTTACATTGTATTCAATGAAACGTGGTCAGTATAATGACCGCAATTTGTTATTGTGTGAGGTGTCCGATTCATGGACGCGATCAATGCTGACCACGTGAAACTGGCTACTTGAGCAGGCGCGGTCAATTCGACCACAGAAATTCTGTCTAAGCACTAGCGCTACATTTGGTTTAATTGTTCTGTTATTTGTGCTGTATCACAATCGATTGTTATTCAGTGAGAAAAAATAACGCGCTACATATAGTCAATATATTTTCACTTCTGACAATTGTGGTAATGCTTTCTGGCATAGCTGCCAAAACGATCCGATATTATGGACAACGGTGCACATTTCCAATGTCGTTCCATGAGCGTTTCTCAGCGCTCAATTATCATACCACATCATGCACATTTTTCAGCTTGACGTAGTTACAACGAACCAGGAATGAATGGAACGTGAGGAAACGGAATGAAGCTGTGTTGAAATGTTGAGAGAATTTTGAACGTGCTGCACATTTTACAAAGCCGACTGAATAATTGCTATCCTTACAGTCTGTGATATGATCTGACCGAGAGATAAGTATGACAGAACAGTTTACAGCTTAGTTTAGTATCATTGTTTAAGGACACGTCACGATAAGAATATTTCTGTTCTAATTTAGTAAATGTTGTTTTTGTCATGATGACCTTGTTACAGAAGGACGGATAACGGCACCCCTTCCATTGTTTGTGTGTGCTTGTGGCACTTGCTTGCGGTTATGTGACGTTAAAGAAAACAATTCTCAGTGGCCTACACACACAGAAGTTTAGTTTCAGTGATTAGTGCTACAAAATACAATGCACTTCTGAACCTTGAAATTTTATACTAACCACTGTGGCATAAACCTTTTTATATTTAATAAGATTGAAAAATTCATTATTCAAGAGTATGATTATATCTTTTGAGTGAAAGTATATGCAGAAACGAAGAATCAATGAAATGATATATATATATATATATATATATATATATATATATATATGTATATATATATAGGAGATTGTTTAAATAAGAGGAGGAAAGTAAGAAAAAAAGTATATCACACAAACAATAAAGATCAGATCAATGGTTGTTCAGTAAATGCAAACAATGAGTAAATACATCAATAATTATTGCACAACAACGATTGCAGTAATAACAAACAATCAAGCATCATAATCATAATAATTGAGAGACAAATCAAAAAGTAAATATTAGACAAAAAAGACACTTGATTGAAATTGCTCCAAGGTGTTTTGAATTTCGTTAGTATATATGTTTGGGTGATCTTTGAGTTTGTCGTAACATTAGTAGTAGTAATAGTAGTATGAGTAGTAGTATGAGTAGTAGTAGTAGTAGTAGTAGTAGTAGTAGTAGTAGTAGTAGTAGTAGTAGTAGTAGTAGTAGTAATAGTAGTAGTAGTAGTAGTAGTAGTAGTAGTAGTAGTAGTAGTAGTAGTAGTATTAGTATTAGTAGTAGTAGTAGTAGTAGTAGTAGTAGTAGTAGTAGTATTAGTAGTAGTAGTAGTAGTATGAGTAGTAGTAGTAATAGTAATAGTAGTAGTAGTAGTAGTAGTAGTAGTAGTATGAGTAGTAGTAGTAGTATGAGTAGTAGTAGTAATAGTATTAGTAGTGGTAGTAGTAGTAGTAGTAGTAGTAGTAGTAGCAGTAGTATGAGTAGTAGTAGTAGTAGTAGTAGTAGTAGTAGTATTAGTAGTGGTATGAGTAGTAGTAGTAATAGTATGAGTAGTAGTAGTAGTAGTAATAATAGTATGAGTAGTAGTAGTAGTAGTAGTAGTAGTAGTATGAGTAGTAGTAGTAATAGTAATAGTAATAGTAATAATAGCAACAATAAATAATAATTTCGTGTAAAATTATAAATCCTCTATCAGAATTAATAATTCTTGATCAATTTTTTATATCAATAATAACAAGTGTAAATAAAATAAAATTAAATCATAATTGTGATTCACAGTTGATTCAACATGAATAACAACAAAGAAATCATAGCATTTTAATGAAGATCATATATAAGAAATTTGATTTTGAAGTACACAAAATATATGTAAGAACAGAAGTAACATGAAACAAAACAGAAATACACACACACACACACAGAGAAACAAAAGCATCATATTACGTCTTATGATTATTATTACAAGTAATCATCATGATTTATATTTTTTTTCAATGTTGATCATTATTAAACATGGCGTAAATTAGTTAGTTTCCAGACAATAGCATGAGCACCTGAAATCATTTGACGTGAACGATAAATAGAACTCTTTAAATTAGAAGCTAAATAAGAGAGATATGGAAAATAAAAAGACAATAATGTTTGTGTGTGTGTGTGTTGGTGATGATGGTGGTGGTTAATGAGACCGGTCATAAGTAAAAAAGCTGTATATTGAAAATAAACTAGAAACTATGAGCCTAATGTTCAAGCTATATCAATTACTTAACCTACTTACTCCTGTTACCCCCCCCCCCCAATGGAGCATATGCCGCCAACCACTTTTTCTCCAACCGACTCTGTTCTGGTCTAACATTTCTAGTTCTTTCCAGTTTTTGTTCATTCTTCCCGGCGCACAATGTTCCTTGACCTTCCTCTTTTCCTTTAACCTTGAGGGTTTCATGTGAGGGCTTGTTTTGTGACCAAGTTCCGTGCTTTTCGCAGTGTGTGTCCTATCCTTGTTCCACCGCTTCTTCCTGATTTCCTCCTCCATTGGAATCTCGTTTGTTCTCTCCCACAGTAAGTTGTTGCTAATAGTATCTGGCCAACGAATCCAAAGTATTTTACCACGACAACTGTTCATAAATACGTTTATCTTGTTTATGATGGCTTTCGAGGTTCTCCAAGTTTCCGCTCCATACAGTAGAACTGTCTTGATATTTGTATTGAAAATCCTGATTTCGGTATTGATTCATATCTGTTTGGAGTTCAATTGTAGCAATGCCATGCTTGCTTTTCCGATCCGCGCCCTCAGATCTGCGTCGGATCCACCTTGGTTGTCGATGACGATGTAAAGCTGTCAACTTCCTCCAAAGAATCTCCACCAAGAATGAGTTCGTTGGCGCATGTTGTTTTGTATCGCAGAATCTTGCTTTTCCCTTTTTTGTATGTTGAGACCTACAGCTGCTGAGGCTGCCGCTACAGTGATCAACTTCTCCTGCGTTTATTGTTGTGTGTGCGATTAATGAGACAAATCATCCGCGAAGTCCAGATCGTCCAGCTGCGTCCTAGCTATCCATTGAATACCGAGCTTCTCTCCAGATGTTGACGTCGATCACTAGGAGAAAGAGAAAGGGTGAGAGTGAGCAACCCAACATCAGTTTGCCAGCTGACCTCCGTGCACGATTTTGCAGTTGAATCCATCAGAAGAATTCCGTATGATGTTGACTATCTTCTCAGGCACGCCGAAGTGTCAAAGAAGCCTTCAGAGTGTTTTTCTGTCCACGCTATCGAATGATTTCTCGTGGTCGACGAACTTCATGTAGAGTGGTGAGTTCCATTCAATCGACTGTTCGCCAATGATGCGTGAGATCGCCTTTCTTTGGTATTTTTATGAAGAATCCTTCTTTCTAATCTGATGGTACTGTTCCTCATCCCAAATCTTCTTCAAGAGAATGCGAAATATTTTCGCATTTGCTTCCACGTCTGCTTTCATTGCCTTTGCTGGAATAATGTCTGATCCTGCAGCTTTGCCGCTCTAGATTTGTCTGATGGCCATTCTGATCTCTTCAATTGTAGGTGCGGCAACATCGATTAGGAGGTCCGTAGATAATGCTACGATGTTGAGTGGTTCCAGTGGAGCTGGTCGATTCAATAGTTACTTAAATTGCTCTACCCACCTGTTTCGCTGTTCTTCAATGTTGCTGATTACTTTACTGGTTGTTCTGGTTTACGAAGTTTTCAGCGAGCTTCTTTATTGCATCGTACAACTGTCACATGTTTCCTTCTCTTGCAGCCTTTTCCACCGTCGTCGCTAGATCCTCCACATATTTTCATTTGTCGGCTCTGATTCTCTTCTTCACTTTCCTGTTTGCTTCTTTGCATTCAGCTCGTGCCTGCTCTTCTTCGGCTGACATTGATTGCTGCCCTCATGTTCCTTCTACCTTCCTTCTCAGCATGTAGAACCTTTGCAGTTACTGCCGGTCCCAAACACGTAAAAAACAGGAGAGCTGATTATGGAGTTAGCGACCCCATCCCACAAAGAAACTAACTTACCAGAAAAACATAAATCAAGCGATTCGGCTCAAGAGATATTAAAAAAGGAACAGATTCACGAAGGCAGGGAGTGGGATGACGTCAGGAGATGTGCCTACACGGTAGCCAGTGATCAACCTTAAATTAGTACAACCATTTTCGTTGCTTCAGTATCTCGGTGCGGATGACAGCCATTAATTTGGCATCACGGTTTTTAATACTTTCCTAAGTAAACTCTCCGTACTCATTAGCCCAGTAAACGTGATAGTCATTCGCTTTCTTGATCGCTTAATCCTGTTACCCCTGATGAAACACAGGATGCTACCAAGCAAGCATTTTGCAACCAACTCTATCAAGCTCTCTTCTTTCCATCTCTATTAATGTATGTCTCATATTCTCGGCGAGATGTGTTTTTCGTTCTGCCTCTTTCACTTAGCTCAGCAAGATCACACTTGAACGCTTACCTCGTGATTTCCACAATGTGCCTGCCATCTACTTTCAAGAAATCTGCTTAACCTTTTTTTTCCAGCTGCAATTCGCTGGATTGACCTTGAGAGTAGGTTATCGTTGATGGTGTCTGGATCCACAGTATTCTGCATAGACACGCGTTTGTGAATACTTGTATTTATTGAATGATGATTGCTATTGTTCTACTAGTTCACACAGCTATACAACAGAACTGTTATGATATTCGTTTTGAAAAATGTGACATTTAGTGTTGGTTGGTTAAATAGCAGATATACTTCAATCGTAGAAATGCTACGTTGATTCGCCAACAATCCATGTATTCGCATCTGCATCAGATCATTCTTGTTTAGAATCAATGATTCTGCCTAGATATGTCAAAGTTTCTATATCGGCCGGAGCTTCTCAAAACAGGTGTGACTTGATTGATGCATGCTATAATATGTTATCAGATGATATTAACTTTTCACTTATGTATGCTGGAATCTGTTGTTACAGAGTTACCTGGTTACATTGTCTATCTTCATCTGTATTTGCTTGACGGTACCAAAGATCAAATTAACCTGTATTTGAATGCATTTGCGTAACAGTGCATACACTTTCAATTGAAAAAGTATTCAAATGCTATACATACAATGAACTAAGTCTTTTTTCAAGACTAACAGCTATCAATACGTTCATCAATCATTCTATAAAATACAGTTATGATTGCGAAATGAGAAGACATATTTTGTGAGATAGTAAGTACCATTTCGTGCTTTCTCGTCAGTCACACATACAAACAACATGTTATTTGTGTGTAAATACAGTTTTGAAGATAAGGTCAAAATTTCTTATTAAGCATGACATTCACTCACTAGAACCATGGTAAACAAAGGTCAACATACAGTTAGTTGTTTTTGAACGCATAAGGTTGGACTTTTCCGATCAATCAAGATAGCTTCTAGTAGTTTGACGGTGTGTGTGGGTTTTGATTACATGTCACAACTCTATAAAGGCTGATTTTGGGTCAATTTGATGATCACTCATCATCATTAGATGTTTTGCAATGGACGAGGCTGAGTTTCTCGATCGATTTTGAGATGATTCATCAACCTAGCCAATCATCTCAAAATCGATCAAGAAACCCAGCCTCGTCCATTGCAAAACATCTAATGATGAGTGGTCATCAAATTGACCCAAAATCAGCCTTCAGAGTTGTGACATGTAATCAAAATCCACACACACCGTCAAACTACTCGAAGCTAACTTGATTGGTCGGAAAAGTCCAACTTTATGTGTTCAAAAACAACTAACTGTATGTTGACCTTTGTTTACCATGGTTCTAGTGAGTGAATGTCATGCTAAATAAGAAATTTTGACCTTATCTTCAAAACTGCTGTATTTACACACAAATAACATGTTGTTTGTATGTGTGACTGACGAGAAAGCACGAAATGGTACTTACTATCTCACAAAATATGTCTTCTCATTCCTCTATTCAAATTTATCAAAGGGAACCACTGTTTTGAGTTATGATTCCGTCAAAACATTTGAAAAAAAAACCAGATTTTAATGAATAGTACACCAAAATGTTGTGACTGGCTAACTTCGTATGAACAATAACCGGTAAGAAACGTTTACTGATAATGATGAACACAACAGATCCACCATACAAGATCAACATTAAAAACTATGAAGCATTGTTTACACGTGCATTTCGGACTATAATCTGAGTCATCAATAGAGCGCATACACGACATCATGAACATTTACTCCATTGTATGCGAACTCAATTTTATTAAAGAGGTTCAGTGTTCCAAGAATGATATCTGTACTATAATCAAAACCAACATCTAAACAGTGCTCATACATTTATAATAGCGATTAAACATTGATAGATTTATGATCTTAAAAAAAAACTCAACAAGACGGACGCCTTAACCAAAAAACTGATCATTATTTCTATATTGATATGAATCGGGAAAAATCGACCGACACAAAAATTGTGGGAAAAAAAATAGTTTACTTTGATCAAGTAAAGAATCATTATTTTGTTTAATTTGTTCTTCCAATCGTCTAAGATCAACATAATTATGTCCAACTGATATAATTAATTCATTTGAATCTAGATTATTGGATTAGTCAAATAAAGGAAGATAATAATGATTAGTAAATATATATATATATATTTGAAATCATTAATCAATCATCATTGTTAGACCACCATTAGATGGTAAGGCGTCCGCCTACAATGCCAAAGGTCCCGGGTTCGAATCCTGCGAGGAGCAGGATTCGTGGATGCGCACTGCTGAGGAGTCCCATACCAGGACGAAATGGCCGTCTTTCAGTGCTTCCAGGTTTCTAATGGTGGTCTAACAATGATGATTGATTAATGATTTCAAATGTGTAAAAACGCAAACCTCCAAAACTGTGCCCCAATTGAGCGCTTTTAACTTTAAGTTCTGATACACTAAGTGATGAAGCAACACCTTACTTACGGGGGAGATGAGAATACATTGGGTAGCTATTCACAAACCAATATGTACTATTATAGTTAGGTGTTAAGCCTGCACGTAAATACGTCAACTTTATATATGAACTATCGTGAGTTTACCCCTTAGTCAGAAAACGAGACAGCGAGGATTAAGGACCAGGCGAAACACGACATGCTACCCCGAAATCGGATTATCCCAATCCCACATATTTAATAAAAATAAGACAAGACGTGATATGAAGTAGAACCTGTATTCTACAAGCATTCAGTAAGTACGAGGTCCGAATCAATGAGGGAATCAGGATCTCCGACTAGGGATCCGGGACTGAGCCCTGGTCCCGCTAATGGTCATAAATTGTTACAGTTAGTGCGTATTTATACATTTTGTCGAATAGGAAACATCACTGAAGTCTGTGCATTGACGACCAATAAGAAACAACATTGGAGAATGTGACATTGATATTTAGGACGACCATAAAATTGACCAGTAGGAATTAATCAATAGGAATTGACCAATAATTCTCTTAGGATATTGAATGAATATCCCAACATTAGGAGGAATCAGGTTTTTACACTTCTCTACATTTCAGTGCATCCTATATATATATTCACAACCAACCAAATGAATATTCATTCTTCAGCGTTTCTATTTCGTGAACTACACACACAAACTGTCAAGAAATCACTGTGTGTGTGTACGTGTATTTTTAGAGATTCAATGATAAGTTATGTAGTTTGAAAATGAATATCTTTAAAATCTTTCATTTGAAAGGTTTTAATCAGCTAACATCAGTTATTGCCATATCATATACACAGACGCACACACACACACTTTGGCTTATAATCAGTGAGTACGTTACATAACAAAGAATCAACATCTTGACCGAAAATGTAAAGTAAGAGACTTTTTTACTAGATTTCTTGAATGATGCAATTTTGTATTCCATGAGAAATACGTAGGTGGTTGCCGATTTCAGCTTAATCACTACATATCAAGAGAAGGAAACATAGTGTAGCATGACAGTTTGTCCTCATAAGTCTGTCACTGTCAACCTTTTCGTTGGTAGATTCATATAAGTCAATTTAAACAACAGTATATCATCATCAGAGATGGAAATGAATAAGTCCGAATTGAGGTGGTAAACAAATGACATTTATAATCCTTTTCCCTCTTTTATAAATAAATCTTTGTTTCGTAAGCATGATATACTTCTATGATGAAATGTCAAGGCAGTAAGTAAGTTATCGACTAAAAGGTTTTCATTCGATATTTTGATAAACATTAAAACAAAATGAATCTTTCGATTGATGTGCATGACTGTGATTGTCCAAATTTATCGGAAGTATATGCTTCCTATGTGGATTGCTGCGAAATTGCCATTGAATCATATGTATATGATAAGTAGGGATTCAAATAGTAAGTTTTGACCTATTTGAAATTTATCGCATAGTTGATGTACTACTACTACACTCTAAGACTGGCACCAATTATATATAGTTCACTCTAAATCTTGACTTTATGTTGTTCACTCAGTGTAAGTCAGTAGCTATGTGTATTGAATACAGAACTGCATTGTAATTAAGACTTAGAGAATGAACATCAACTGTGAGATGCAGATACACGGACGCTGACGAAAACCGAATAGAACAAAACAAACGCGAACTTCGAAAGTAAGTGCATCAGTTCTGGTCGCCATGCCCCATCAGCACAGAGACGCAACCGTCAGTTCAAATCCAACAGTGATAGCAATAGTAGAAGTATTAGCAGTAATGAAGAACATGAGGGAGCGAAGACATGATTCGAGAAGTATAATTCAGTAAGATAAATTAAGAAGGAGAAAGGTAGAGATTATGAGGAATTCAGAAGGTTAGAACTAGAGAAAACACAAAGAGTGGATGCACTTGCGCAATCGCAAACGATTCTCAGCCATGTCGTTCAAGGTCTCTAACCATCGATTATTATCATCTCGCGGATCCCAACCAGGTAGCCAACAACTACCAACATGACTAAGTCCACTTGTCAGTGACTTCATGCATTTCTGCTATGTTTTCGTTTGGCCGCCCCTAGCTTTCTTCCAACTTACTACTACACCACTAAACATAGCTCGTCGCGGCAGTCGATGGTTAGCCATACATAACACATATCCCGACCACCACAACTGATGAAGTTTCACTACTTCATCTATTGATTTCACATCCCTACCTAGAACTCGTTTCCTAACGATAGCATTGCTTAGTCGGTCGTACAACGATACACGAGCAATGCTTCGGAGACATCGATGATCGAAAACGTTCTCTACTCTTAACGGTCAAGATTATCATGAAAATCCTACTATTGAAAAAAAGGACAAGTTAGAAAACATACTTTGATGAATTAACAATAGATTGCATACAGGACGTCGATAACCATGACAGCTGATAGTAATGGAAGATGTGCCGGAGAATTCAATTTCCATTGATGGATGTTTATATTCTACAATAGTAGAAAAACGTAGTTAGAAACAAAATTTTTTTACCTTCATTTGAAGAAAAATACTCTAACCATTAGAAAAACGATGAAATAATTATACTACACTCATGAAGTTGTAGGTAAACAGAAAAAGAAAACACAAACATTCTATGAAACTTTGTTTCTGTTAAAACAACTCTCTTGAAACAATCATATTTTGCATAGCTTTGTTCAAATAGATTAGATTTAAGAAAGTGGTTCATTGAGGACAATGAAAAAAAATAACAGTTTTTTGTTATGTTCTATTGATTGAGTACCGATTTGTCCACGGGAAAGTCTCTTTGAAGTAAACGTGGCACTGCATGGACGTTTCGTCCTGGTATGGGACTCATCAGTAGTGCGCATCCACGACTCCTGCACATTTCAGTATTGTGTGCGAACGCCCTAACCGTTAGACCGCTGACGGTGTTAATGTCTAACTTCATCAAACTCACGGAGTTACGCAAAACCTCATACACAGTCTTCGGTAAACACTGCCTACACCCGAACAGGTTGAACTTCACTGAGTAGTCCCATGCATACCAGAACGAAACGGCCGTCTTTCAGTGCTTTGAGGTTTCTTCTAATGATGGTCTAACATTGATCGATTCATGGTTTCAAAAAAATGTGTGTCACTTAACAATCTACACAACCCCGTATTCCAAATTACCTGTGCTCACTAGTGACTAGATTCGTGAGGAATCTTCTCCGAGTTCTAGTGGGAAGACGTGATCAGTGAAGTTCAACCTGTTCAGGTGTAGACAGTAACTACTATCGAAGACTGTGTATGAGGTTGCGCAACTCCGTGAATTGATCGAACTTAGACATTAAGACCGTTAGATACCGACTGGCTCAGTGGTCCGATGGTTAGGCGTTCGAGCACAATACTGAAGGTCTTGGGTTCGGATCCTGCGGGGTGCAGGATCCGATGGATGCGCACTGCCACTAATAAGTCACCTACTAGGACGAAACGGCCGTCATTCAGCGCTCCCAGGTTTCTAATGGTGTTAGTCTAACATTGATCGATTCATGATTTCAAAAATATGTGTGTCACTTAACAATCTTCACAACCCCGTCATGCAAAAAACTTAATTGTTTGTTAGTTCGAAGTGAACAGAACAGGATGTCTACATGTGTACAACGTGAAGAACTTCAATAATCACACTTTCATCATACTATCTGATGCTTGCATTGATAATGTATAGTTCACATGTAAAAAACAATGAACAATGAATTTACTATCATAATTCAGCTGTAAACGAGCAATTAGTCCAGAACGTGTAGCAAACCATAATTCATGATCACTGGTTGATGGTAAAATCAATAGACGACATATTGTTAAATCAATTGGATCTGTAACATTTTCCATATCTATAAAAAAAAAGAGTAATAGATATTGTAGATATTGTAGACTATATATGTAGAGCTACATGTTAGGTGATTCATATCAAATATTCTAAGTATTGCTCGTATATCGTGGGACACCAGAGTGAGCAATGCTCTTATTAGGAAACGGGTGCTAGGTAAGAATGGCAGATCAATCGATGAAGTAATGAAACTTCATCAGTTGAGGTGGTTGGGACATGTGTTGCGTATGCTTAACCACCGACTGCCTCGAAGAGCTTTGTTTTGTAGTTTAGGAATAGGTTGGAAGAAAGCTAGGGGCGGCCAAACCAAAACCTGGCAGAAATCCATGAAGTCATTGACAAGTGGACTGAGTCATGTCGGTAGTTGTCGACTACCTCCTGGTTGGGATCCGCGAGATGATAATAATCGATGGTTAGATAGATACCCTGAATGACGGCTCAGAATCGTTCGATATGGCGCCGCAGGTGCATTTATTCTTTGTGTTCTCTCAAATCCTAATCTTGTGGATTCTTCAACACCTCTAGTTTTGACTTTCTAAGCTTATCTCATTGAATCATACTTCTTGAATAATATCTTCTCATCCTTAGCCTCTCCGACTACTTCTAATACCTTTACTAGCTCTTCTACTACTATTGCATTTGAATTGACAATTACATCTCTGTGTGCTGATGTGGTATGGCAACATGAACTGATGTACTTACGTACGAAGTTCTACGTTGCATCTGACTGACTGACCGACTGACTGACCATTTCCCTATTGGCTGCTTGCTGGTACAATCGTCCTAACAATAATCCGGTATGCTTATTCTCTTTTCTGAACTCTACTTTACATATAAAGACTTCTTGTTCTACTTTATTTGGGGTCAAGGAAGCTCGTTATAAATAAGTCAAGCATATCAACTGACGCGCTGATGTGCGTTCGTAACACAATAAAAAAACATATACTGTTGTTTGCATTGAATGTTGACTGTCATTCTCTACAGTGGCTTTGCTATGGTCATGTCTATAGGGAAAACATTCGTGCTCCAAATGATCTCACAAGATCATGAGCATAGAATCACTGTTAGGAACTTCCTATTCAGTGGTAGTATAGTGACGGAGAACACAAGTGAGGGCAACCGAATTGTATTTATCGCGAATCGCAGAGTTGATTGGTAAAATAGGAAAACCATATCGTAAATCGTTAATTTGCTAATCTTCAATCCATCATCAATCCATTGTCTGACATTTCACTTATTCATGCATTTCATACAAATTCCTTTTTATTGATCTTCCCCCATCTTCTGCTGCCAGACATTACGTTTACACTCGCATCATATACTACTTATAAGTAGCGCGCACCATAGTAGAAGTGTTGTTCACGAAGTTTAGAAGAAAAAGAGTAAAAACAATCATGGCTCAAATCACGTCCATAGGTAAGTAGGATTTATAGAGTAGACGAGTTGGAATACCCTGAAATCCATGTAAATCAGAACACAGAGATACTATTGTCAATTCAAATGCCACAGTGGTTGAGGTAGCACAAGTATAAACCAGTAATCGGTACGATTACGATTTTAAGATGATATTCAAGGAGTATAATCCAATGAAATGAATTTGTGAAGAAGATAATTTCATAAAACAGCTCAGATTACAATTCATGAGAACACAGAACATGCGCGCACATGCGCCATTACAACCTAATTTTAAGTCATGTGATTAGCGATCTTTAAATAAATACTTCGATCACACTATACAGCCAGATTCGATATACTTCTCTATTGTAGTAACTTTGGATCAACTCTGTTACTTACTACTACTACTACTGTGGCGCGCGCTACTTATAAGTAGTATATGACGTGAGTGAAAACGTAATGTCTGGCAGCAGAAGATGAGGGAAGATCAACAAAGTAAGAAGAGTCGGAGGAACACAATGGAATTTGTATGAAATGCATGAATAGTGAAATGTCAGACAATGAATTGATGTTTTGCAAATTAACGGTTTACGATATGGTTTTCCTATTTTACTGAGTAACTCTGTAATTTTCGTTAAATACAATTCGGTTGCCCTCACCTGTGTTCTCCTTCACTACATTTGGTGTCGCTGCCTGCACGAAGGAAGGAGTTTGAGGACGGAGATTTGCGGAGCTTCCTGGAGTAGTTTGAGGCCGTGGTGTGGCTGGTGGGTGTTAAGGGGCCCGGGGCGGAGTTGGTAGTGCTGAGGACGCTGCGGGGGGGTGAGGCAAAGGCTGTATACGACAGCCTGGACAGTGCCGCCGGGAAGACGGTGTGGGGGACGGTCACGGAGCGAATAGTGGCGGAGTTCATCGGCCCAGTGGATAGGGAGGAGGCGCTGCAGAGGTTCCGGTTGGCGAGGTTGTCTGTCAAATGCGACCCACTGTTGCTGTCTCTAGAGCTCACGATGTTGCTGCTCGTGCGCTGCCGAGTATGGATAGGGAGTCGGATGCACAGTTGTTGGCGTCGCAGTTGATCGAGAGTGAGCCTGCCGCCCTGTCTCAGCAGAGGGAACTATTAAACGCTACATGTTAGATGGATGCCGTACCCATTCCAGACCGGCGGGCAAGAACAACGACCGAAGTGGCAATCCGGTATATTGTAGCGTGTCACGGAATACGGAAGGTGATATAAACTGACCAAGGTCCCTGTTTTGAAAGTGACGAGTTTAAAGCCCATCTAAACCAGTTTGGCATAAAGAGGATACGAACTACACCGTATCATCCGCAGATAAACGGGCTTACAGAGAGAAACTTATTCTTAAGACACTATCCTTACTTATTTACCTATTTACTTACGCCTCTTACCCTCAACGGAGCATAGGGCGCCCACCGGTTTCCTTCAACCAAATACACTATTCTTAGTTGTACAAAACGATGACATAACATTACAATGAGATAGCCAACAGTACATATATACATACATTTATCTATTTGTGTTCTTACAAAAAAACAACTTACCCAACATTGTAGCTAGTGCATTGGTTAAATCAATTTGACGTAGAATACATTTTTGTCTAGGACAACATGCTAATAAACGTGCCATACCAATACTTGTTGTCCTCTCATTATTGACATATTCATGCATTGATTTCGGACTATCTGTCATTAAGCTATTGGTTTGTACCAAATCATTACTGTTATTATTATTATTATTATTATTATTATTATCGCTATTAGTATTGATTGTACACATTGTTGGATTACCAGATACAGCTAACCATAGAATTTTAGATGAATTCACACAGATTGCATGTAAACATGGTGTTTTATTCGGTAGTGCGATACTGTATAAATGAAAAGCAAAACACAAAAGTTATATATATATATATATAAAGTAAAACAATTTCTAAGCTTTAATCCACCGACTGCCTCGACGAGCTTTGTTTTATGGTGTAGGAATAGGTTGGAAGAAAGATAGGGGTGGTTAGACCAAAACATGGCAGAAATCCATGAATTCACTAACGACAAGTGGACTGAGTCATATTGGTAGATGTAGACTACCTGGTTGGGGTCCACGAGACGAAAGTCACCAATGGTTAGAGACCTTGAACAACGACATGTGGCTCAAAATCGTTTGCAATGGAGCAAGTGCATCCATTCGTTGTACTCTCTCAAATCCTAATCTTCTGGATTCGTCAGTCATAAGCTCTACCTTTGTCTTTCTAAACTTATCTCACTGAATTATACTTCTTGAATAATACATCTTCAAACCCTAGTCTTCTTCATTACTACCATTAATACCCCCTACTATCTCTACTATCACTATGGGATTTGATTTGACATTTGTGTCTCTGTGCTCCTCATGTGGTATGGTAACATGAACTTATGTACATACGTACGAAGTTCTTACGTTGCAACTAACTGACTAACTGACTGACTGATAAGCTTTAATGGATAGTCAGTGATTTAGTCAGTCAATTACAACATAGTAGTAAAAGTATAAGCGGTAATGAAGAGAGATTAGGGTTCGAAGATATGATTTAAGAAATATATAGTTCAGTGAAATAAATTCAACAAAAAAATGAAGGAGTAGGACTATTAAAAAAAAATTATTTTGAGCCAATGACATTCAAGGTCTTTCTCTCTCTTTCTATAACCATCGGTTACTGTCGTTTCGCAGACCATAACCAACCAAGTCGTCTATACGTATCAAAATGACTCAGTCAGTCGACTTGTCAGTGACTGCATTGATTAGTAGTGTGAAATTTATGTTGAGTTGTTTATTTCTGATTTATGACTTATCATTTGTAGCTCGATATCATCTATCCGTTCGATACTGTTCACTTGAAATGTTATCAACAAATCTGCTGAATTGTTGATTTTAGATAAATACTATCTAGTCAATCAAAGGAAAAAGCAAAATTCTCCGATGCAACACAACATACACTAACCAAATCACTCTTGATGGAGATGCGTTGGAGAACGTTAACACCTTCACATATCTGGGCAGCATCATCGACGAGAAAGGTGGATCCGATGCAGATGTGAGGGCGCGGATTGGCAAAGCACAAAGGCTGCATTTCTACAGTTGAAAAATATCTGGAACTCCAAACAACTTTCAACCAAAACCAAAATCACGATTTTCAATACAAATGTCAAGACGGTGTTTTACTGTATGGAGTGGGAAATTGGAGAACTACGAAAGCCATCATCATACAGAAGATACAAGTATTTATGAACAGTTTCCTTCAAAAAATACTCCGGATTCGTTGGCCAGACACGATCAGTCACAACGTACTGTGGGAGAGAACAAACCAGATTTCAGCGGAAGAGAAAATCAGGAAGAATCCATGGAAGTGGATAGGACACACACTACGAAAAGCACCTAACTGCATCACAAGACAAGCCCTCACATGGAACACTCAAGGCAAAAGGAAAAGAGGAAGGCCAAAGAATACATTACGCCGAGAAATAGAGAAAGATATGAGAGGAATGAACAAACATTGGACAGAACTGGAAAGGGAAGCCCAGGACAGAGTTGGTTGGAGAAAACTGGTGGGCGGCCTATGCTCCATTGGGCGTAACAGGCGTAAGTAAGTAAGTAAGTAATCTAGTCAATCACTATTCATCTGTTTTATTTAGTCCGTGTAACTTAAAAGAAATAACTATGTGAATTCAGTAACTAATCGAATCACATAATCACCATTGAAGCGAACCACATTGGATTCACATCCTGAAGTAATAAACATCAATGCTGAGTTCGATCCCATCTCCTACATATAACAGAAAAAGCCATAGGAATTTGTACATTCAACTGCAATTTATGGTGTTCAGAAGAAACTCATGACAACCCTATCTTTCCTGAGAGTAGATGTTAGAGAAATAAAATACGATAACAAAAGTTTTATCAATAGTAAGTCAAACCTCGTGGATACATAGACTTGAAGTAATCATTACTGAAACATTTAAACCATTACGTAATAAGCAAATGTGTAACAATAATTAGATATTTTGATAGAACAGTGAGAAGACGTAGAGTTGATCTGAAAAATGTTGTCATGTATTTGCGCCTCATACATTTCAAACAAACTGGTCACACATATGTACACTTGTCAAGGCATTTTATATGAAGATGAATAAAAGGTCAATTAAATGAAAGTTCAAATATACATAGGGTGTTAATTGTAAATAAAGGAGAGAGAAAATTAACGTAATATGAAAAGAATAATAAGAAAGGGTAGGAAAATTGTCACATTACCCTATAGGCTTAAAGACTACCAAGGTAAATTCAAGGTTATGACAAATTGTTTCTGTACACATAAGAGGGGAGAGTTTAATTTTCTAATAGCCAAGGCCTCCATAAACCTCAAAATTCGTCCTTCAATATTTCTATACAATGTTTTGAAAGCTGTCTTGATGTCAATCTTATGTCATGTCTCAATTATGTGTTTGGCGATCGATGGACATGGTTTTCTATTTCCAACGCTAATCTGCTCATCTGACATTAACTGATTTTGAAGCCACTTAGGTACATGCTCCATGGAGCCTATCATGTGTGTAGTGAAGTAATCTCTATTTCATTTCATTGTGATTATTGACTGAAATTGACTTGATTAGTTTAACATTTTCAAAATAATAGAGAGTAAAGTTGGATGACGATCTAATCTGTGTTGTTCTAATGACCAATTATTGTTGTGCGACTGGTTTATTTCTAATTTATGGCTGGTTCATTGTTTACAGTGAACAAAACTGCACCGCCATTTTCAACGTGGACATAAATAAATGTACATTACGGGGTTGTGAAGATTGTTAAGTTACACATTTTTGAAACCATGAATCGATCAATGTTAGACCACCATTAGAAACCCGGTATGGGACTCCTCAGCAGTGCGCATCCACGACTCCTGCATCCCGCAGGATTTGAACCCAGGACCTTCGTGATTGTGCGCGAATGCCTAACCATATAGGACCTCTGAGCCGGTATCTAACAGTGTTAATGTCTAACTTGGTCAATTCACGAAGTCGCACAACCTCATACACTATCTTCGTTAGTAGTTACTGTCTACACCCAAACAGGTTGAACTTCACTGGTCACGTCTCCCCACCAGAACTCGGAGAAGATTACTCACGAAGCTAGCCACCAGTGAGCACAGGACGAAACGGCCATCCAGTACTTGCAGGTTTCTGATGGTTGTCTAACATTGATCGATTCATGGTTTCAAAAATAAATAAATGTGTTTTACGATTTTAAAACTACGTTTACTTTGAGATGTATCACGAAAATTTGGTGAAGGTTATCGACTTGGTGGAACAATGAACATTTTATAGTTGACACTCAAGGCCATTGCTAGTGCTAAACCGCAAATTCAATTTTCATCAAAATCCTAAAATTGATTGTTGCTAGACCACCATTAGAAACCTAAAAGCACGCACTTATCAGCAGTGCGTATCCACAACCCCTCGCTCAACGGATTCAAACCGTGACCAGTGAAGTTCAAACTTGTGAGGTGTAAACGGTTGAACAATACCATGAAGTGATTTAGGTGAGACATTAAGACTGTTGTACACCAGCTCAATAGTCTGTCTACAGGTTAATAAACGATTTCAGGTCAGACCTGGTCTTCGGTTTGATACTCCGGTACGTTGGTTGTAGATGTGCACCAATGACGAGTCCAATACTAGGATGAAACAGCCATCTAAACTGGACCTCCTGGTTAATAATGATGACGAAACAATGATTAATTGATAATTTCTACGGAACTCAACTATCCTTAGAACTAATAAAGTGAAGATCGTTAACCGAATTGGTGGTTTTAAATTCGTTACGCGATATTGATCAAGGCATAGACATATATAAGAATCATCAATCAATCATTGTTAGACCATCACGATTAGAAACCTGGAAGCACTGGACGGCCGTGTTGTCATGGTATGGGACTCATCAGTGGCAGTGCGCATCCGCGACTCCTGCTCCTCGAAGGATTCGAACCCGGGACCTTTGGCGTTGTAGGCGGACGCCTTACCATCGGACCACTGGGCCAGTATCCAATGGTGTTATATATATATATATATATATATATATATATATATATATATATATATATATATATATATATATATATATATATATATATATATATATATATATATATATATATATATATATATATATATATATATATATATATATAGTAAACTAACCTTGTTACAAATTCACCTGATTGAATATTTAAACAATAACAATGACCACCGCCAGCAGTACCAAGCCATATATGATCAGATGATGTACAAGAAACATCATTCTCTTCTGTTGTTGTTGTTGTTGTTGTTGTTAAACATAATTTCTGATCATTGGACGATGAAAATGCTGTGGCCATAATCAATGGACCAGTAGATGAAGATTTATGAGGTAAATTAATCAATTTATGCTTTGTTTGTATTGTAGTTGGAGTAACAGCAGCAGCACCAGCAGTTGGAGTTGAAGTTAAAGAGGATGTATTCAGGGCAGTGGGATGCAATTGATTTTGCATAAATGATAATGGCCATTGAAAACAAACAAAATGACTTGTACCAGTGGAATTGAAAAGACCAATGCATAGATAATTATCACGTGAACTGTTAAAACAGAGAAGAGAAATAAAGCGGGTGTGTATGTGTGTTATGATGCATTGGGCATAGAACTGAAAGCGATCAGTTTGATTTCAATCAGTCAGTCAGTCAGTCAGATGCAACGTACAACTTCGTACGTAGGTACATCAGTTCATGTTGCCATACCACATCAGCACACACAGATGTAATTGTCAATTCAAATCCAATAGTAGTAGAGGTATTAAAAGTATTAGCAGTAATCGGAGAGGAGGTTAGGATTAGAACATATTATTCAAGAAGTAGTATTCAATGAGAAAAGTTTAGAAAGTCAAAACTAGAGGTGTTGAAGAACGCAGAAGATTAGGATTTGAGAGAACACAAAGAATAAATGCACCGGCGCCATTTCGAACGATTTTGAGCCATGTCATTCAAGGTCTCTAACCATCAATTATTATCATCTCGCGGATCCCAACCAGGTAGTCGACAATTACCGACTAAGTCCACTTGTCAATGACTTCTTGGATTTCTGTCATGTTTTAGTCTGGCCGCCCCTAGCTTTCTTGCAACCTACTCTCGCACTACAAAACAAAGCTCATCGAGGCAGTGGGTGGTTAGGCATACGCAGCACATGTCCAAACCACCTCAACTGATGAAGTTTCAATACTTCATCTATTGATCTGCCATTCTTACCTAGCACCCGTTTCCTAATCACAGCACAAGCACACGAGACCAAATTGGTCAAAATCAAATCCTTCCTACACCCATACAAACCTCACTTCTCTCCACAACGAACTCTACTCACATTCCCTTATCTCACTGCATCGCTAGTGCGAACGAAGCGAGTTCACGAAACGTTATTCCTGGTCTCTGGGAACCTCGTTCTAAATGACATGTTGTAGCATTTAATGTAAGGACATTGTGTCAAATAGGGCAACAGACTTGATTAGCTAGGACTTTAGAATCTCGTGCTATCGATGTATGCTGCGTCTCGGAAACGCGCATACAGGATCTTAGTAATATTATTAATGTGATTTCACCTTATCAAAATGAGGAAGCAGATCGATATACTCTTCGTGTATCTGGAAGCACTGATGCTGCTTCCAGGGGTCTTGCTGGCGTAGGCATAGCATCGAGTCTTAGAGCTGAACAATCTCTCCTAGACTGGATCCCAGTAGATAGTCGCTTGTGCGCTGTCCGACTAAACGGGACAGTAAAGAGTCGGAAGGATACGGACAGTCGCCATTGCCTCTTCGTTGCATCTGCTTATTCCACCGCTGACAGCCCTTCAGACGAGGTGAAAGATGAGTTTTACAGAAAGCTTTCGAGCCTCCCTCAAAAAGCTAAGCGCTCTGATATAGTAATAATGGCTGATGACTTGAACGCTCAAGTAGGTAGACTGAGTGAAAATGAAAGACATCTTATTTAAGACAGCAAAAAGGGAAGTTCCATTTCACTATGGATTACTATAAACAAATATACGTATACTATTAACTATCACTTAATTATGGATAACCGAGAAGTGGCGACCGCCCGAACTTCTTCGCGATTATATCCTTCCTCCACCCTCTCTTAATAACTCTGACACCAATTCAGCAAATGAACTTCTCATAACTTTATATTCTCAAGCTACTTATGCTCATGACTCATCATTCATTGCCAATGTAGTAGGTCAACATGATTTGTTGCATATGTATGTATCAAGTTCTACATGATGACTGAATGACTCATTCATTTTATGATTACAATTTGACAATATACTACTATACTACTATTAAACATTATTAGTAGTTATGAAATGAAAAACTAAAATGCACAGAATAATCATTATTATTCAATTCATACAACTTACATCATTGCATTAGCTACAAAACATTGATTATTTGTATGAAATCGATATAGAATTTGTGGTAAACCAACACTATAAAGACTTGAAGTAATCTGTTCATCATTATTATTATTATTATTATCAGTGTTATTTGGATGATTAGTCGAATCGGTCGACTTTTTGATGTGACATGTTCGAAATACTAAAAATTGTCCATCATTTGATGCTAGAATTACATAACCATCTGAAAAAAGTTATAGTTTATTGTAAGAATTAGAGAACTATAGAGTTGTGAATCATGTTGTTTATTGAAAACTTAGATTGATAAAAGTTAGATGTTTCGTTTCAACCGAAGGGTCAGTCAGTCAGTCAGTCAGTTGCAACGTAGAACTTCGTACGTATGTACATAAGTTCATGTTGCCATACCACTACATTAGCACAGAGATGCAAATGTCAAATCAAATCCCATAGTGATAAACATAGTAGAGGTATTAATGTTAATAAAGAAGATTAGGGTTTGAAGATATTATTCAAGAAGTATAATTCAGTGAGATAAGGTTAGAAAGACAATGGTAGATGTGCTGACGATTCCAGAAGATTAGGATTTGAGAGAGCTCAAAGAGTGGATGCACCTGCGCCATTGCAAACGATTTTGAGCCATGTCGTTCAAGGTCTCTAACCATTGATGACTTTCGTCTCGCGGACCGAAGATCTTGACTTCAATTCCTGAGAGTAGCATTTGGCGTGGAAGCGCACTGATGATGAGTCACATAGGAGTACCGAACGGTCTTTAAATACTTCCAGGTTTCTAATGATGATCTAACCATGACTGATTCATGATTTCACATCACTCTAATTAATTAGTGAGAAACCATCGTAAATCAGATAGTCATAAACGATAGTTTCATCATTGTATGAGACTCTGACCGTTCTCACTTAAATGGCGAAAAACCTACCACTGACCTGATGTTACTAGACGGTAGCAGCTGTAGCTATGCTAGGCTCGTTTATGTTTACTGTCATTAATGTCTTAACATTAAATTATACTACTTAATAATATTCAGTAGACAGATTTTCTTTCTAAATATTTATAAGGGCCGTTTTATTGTGTGATATCACGAACTAGTTACATAAACTAATAAGATTCCTTCTTTTTATTAGCATAAGAACGTTGATTTCATAAATGATTCAACCATGTATTTAAAAGATCTGAAAACGTTAAATCATAATTAAGAAAAAGGTCTAAATAATACAACTACTCATGAGTAGTATAAAACGTTCAGAGAAGAAAATAAGAACAACATATACAAACGAACAAAATTGTTTTCGGTTAGATCGTGATCAGGTTTGACTCTAACATACATGAATATGTATATGAAGAAGAATATGATAGAAAACTGACTTTCATTGACATCACACTAAGTAGGCGAAGTGATGGTTCACCAAGTAGAAGCGTGCATAGAAAAAAAACCCAGTGCTTGCCAATACACTTACTTTTGTAGTTTTACACCTATCCGCTACAAAAGAAACTTGGTTATATGTCTCACTAACACAGCAAATATGATATGTTCAGTGAATACTTTAAGTCAGGAGCTGGATTTCATCAACGGCTCAATAACCGAGATTGGTTATACCAGCGCATTCATAAAGAAGTATCTGTTTGCGTTAAAAAAAAGTAGGTGGTTTCGACTGCCCAAAAGAAGCCTTTATTTATGAAGTTACAATTCAAGGGAGATGTGACCTGCGATACTCTGTGAGACAGTTTAATAAGAGTAATTAGTGGAACATTCAACGCTGCCAAACTTGCATTATTTTTCTCCAGTCGACCAGCGATGTCTACCCAAACGAAGAATAAGTTACCTGATTTGGCCTCCTCTATGTGCATTTACAAATTCAGCTGCTCCTGGTGACATAGCTATTTCGGGCGTACTTCCCGGCAACTTACCCAACGAATGAGTGAACATCTCTCAGCATGGTTTACGAAGGGTCAGTCAAAAACAATACACAGTTCTATTTTAGCACACCTGGTAAGATAGTGGTCACATTGTAGATAAATCTAGATTTTTTCGGGTGATCATTTCCCAACGGAGTTCGATACCGTCTCCTACACATTGCAGAAGCCAAAGGAATACGTACATTCAACCCCAATTTATGTGTTCAGAAGAAATTCATGACAGCCCTATCTCTTCCGTGGCCGAATATGACGTAACTAACGATTGACATTATATTTATATTTTTACACATTTGGTTAATACGTAATGGTTTTGATGTTTTTATTGACTATTTGAAGTCTATTCATTCACGTTTGACCTACTATTGATAAAACTTTAGTTATCATATAATTTTCTTACTACTATCGCAGTACGCCTGTCTTCCTACCATCCACTTGAACTTTTGCCTATTAGAGGTGTAGTGACGTAATCTCTATTTCATTTCATTGTGATTATCACTCAAATTGCCTTGATCGGTTTTAACATTTTCATATGTAAATATTCATGTATATTAGAGAGAGAGTAAAGCAGCCTGATGACAATCTAATCGAAAACAGTAATATTGTTCACTTATATGCGTGTTGTTCTAATTTTCACAATGGGAATCTTTAATATTCCTAAAGAAAATAATCAGATTGACATACCATCATTTTTATTACAAATTGTCTCATTCACATGACTAGTACAGGAGGATTCATTCAGATCCCATGTAAATTCAATATATTCATTATCTGAAGTTAATTCAGGTGATGATGGACAAGTCGTCGCTGATGAAAAATAAACAGATGCACACAGTTTAATCAACAATATTTACGAAAAACATTTGAGATGAACGGAAATGTTGGAAGCTAAAGCATAATATCGATTTTGAGCCATGTTATGTAAAGTCTTCAACCATCGATTACTATTGTCTTGCACATCCCAAACAGGTTATCTACACCGATCAACATGACACAATGCATTTGTCAGTTACTTCTTGGATTAGTGCTATGTTTTGATTTAGCGGGTCGTAACTTTCTTCTACTGTCTCCTCACCTAATAACATCGCTTGTCCAAGCAGTCGGCGGTTAGACATACGTAACACATGTACCAACCACCAAAACTGATGAAGTTTCACTTACACATTCATTGATCTACCATCCTTGCCTAGTACTTGTTTCCTAGCAACAGCGTTGTATACTCGATAGTTCCAGGATACTTCCAAAACACAGACGACAGAATCCTAGTAACCTAGAAATAACCTTTATTATAGGTGGTCGGGTTCGACACCCATATAGTGGGACGAGAGAGAAATGCTGCGCAGCTGATTCGTCTTTGAGTTGGCTAACAAATATCTCACCTACGACATGAGTAACGCAAGTTGGTAAAAGCCAATCGAGCCAACTGTTTCCTTGATAAGATTTCATCAGACACGATGAGACTCTCGAGATAAATGAAGCGGCCAGGTGCAAATGTCACTACGAAGACAAATCTGTTGACTTATTCCCCAACCTAAACAATCAATGGTTTTCTACTTGTAAACAAACTGTTTTTGATGTTGTTAGTGGGACATAGATAGAATTAAAGCATGACTACGTTGCTACGCGCTGATTGGCTAATTGCCTGTCCAATCAGCGCCTGATCGATACTTGGAGAAGAAGGTAGAAAATTCTCGTATTGTTAGCTGCATGCTGATCGGTTAAATAAAAATCCAGTCGATCACGTGAATTTCTATCCAGAAGCTTCTCATGTAAATGCTATCAATAAACTAACGTTGTATCTATCTATTTTTGCCTTCTTTGCCTTCACCATCACCTTTAGCTTCTTATTTCCATTTAACCTGTCTATTTTGGAATATAAACTTTTCCTGTTCAACCATGTTTCTGATTCTTGGGAACTTGTCCAGTGTATTGTGGTCAGAGAATAATACTAAGCAATCGGATTTAGCTGAGAATTATCTAAGCAAGCCATTTAAAACAGATGTCAATAATAACACTATTGAGTAATAATAATAGTAGCAATAATATTATCATTAGTAACAATATTAATGTACCTCCTTCACTATTCTTTACATAAACACCAGTAGTCGGTAGAAAATCATTATCTAAATCAAAACTATAAATAGGTTGAATAAATTTTGTTGGTTCAAATATATGCACTTGACCAAGATAACCACGATTCAATGAGGTTGAATGATTGACATTGGAAGAATCTATTGAACCGCCACGACCAATTAACCATAAATGATACTGAAAATTGATGTGAGGAAAAGAGTTAAAGAAAAGAAAAGATAATTAACATCGTTAGATGCCTGCTTAGTGAGTAGTGCTGGTTTAGAGATCGACAGTTTTAAGTTCGATTCCTACGGGTGACGGGATGTAGAGAGTATGAAGAACACTTTGATGTGTGCGAGGAAGTTTTACATTGTACTAATTAAAACTCGAGTAGGTCATTTATCTACAAAGATTCTCACCGTCATTCAAACGGAATATGCCTACAAATGTCCACACTTTCGGACGGAAACATGATGTTGAGAACTGTTCGTATGTCGCTGCTGAAAACATAACTTCAATTTATGGCTTTACATCCTAAACTATAGGATTGGAGTTATTTCTGAATGATTTGAAGAGCTCTCGGAATCAGCACCTCCTAAGTGAATGGTCTACAGATCTAATGTCCTCAATTCCAATCTCAAGAATATAAATCCCGAATAGAGCAAATACAAAGATTTTTCAGCACACAAGTCAATCAGCAATCAACTACAAAATATCGATTGAATTTATCACTTAATCACAAAAATTAACATATTTATGACCAAAAATCACAGCAAATACGGAAATATAATCAAAATCAGCAGACAAGTAACAGCAGGGTAACAATCAGTCAATAACAATCAATAGTGATCAAAGTCGATTGGACGAACTGAAATTTGTACGTGGAAATATTTGAATACTCCGCTGACACATGAAGTTCTTTGCGATGACAATTAGCGCGCCACGACCAAACAATCATCTATCTGAGGCAAGAAAATCACTTATCAAAAACCAAAAATTTAGGAATGTATGCCCAACCACCGACTGCCTCGACGAGCTTTGTTTTGTAGTGTAGGAATAGGTTGAAAGAAAGTTAGGAGCGGCCAAACCAAAACATGGCAGAAATCCATGAAGTCATTGACAAGTGGACTGAGCCATGTCGGTAGTTGTCGACTACTTGGTTGGGGTCCGTGAGATGATAATAATCGATGGTTAGAGACCTTGAATGACATGGCTCAAAACCGTTCGATATGGCGCCGCCAGTGCATTCAGTCTTTGTGTTATCTCAAATCCTAATCTTCTGGATTCTTCAACACCTCTAGTTTTGATTTTCTAAACTTTTCTCACTGAATCATACTTCTTGAATAATATCTTATAATCCTAACCTCCTCTCCGATTACTTCTAATACCTCTACTACCTCTTCTACTATTGGATTTGAGTTAAAAAGTACATCTCTGTGCTGATGTGGTAAGGCGACATGAACTGATGTACTTACGTACGAAGTTCTACGTTGCATCTGACTGACTGACTGACGCATGTACTTCTTCAAAGGGAACGAATACGTTCAATGTAAAATTATAATCGATAATTAAAATATTAGCTTACTTTAGGTTCTGAATTACAATCCAAAGATATGAATGGAACAGTAAGTGCTGTACATATCTGAAAAATTTATGATTAAGAAAAAAAAATTACGTTTTATGTGTCAAACAAATTCAATGTACAATAAAAAAAATTGAATTCACCATTGAACAAGTAATGAACGAACCAGTTGTTTTGATGAGCAACATTTTTGACTAAAAGTTGACATTTTTTTATGATGACCATCTGAGAAACTACTATTGTAGTGAAGGAGAACACAGGTGAGGGCAACCGAATTGTATTTAACGAAAATTACAGAGTTACTCAGTAAAATCAGAAAACCATATCGTAACCGTTAATTTGCAAAACATCAATCCATTGTTTGAGATTTCACTATTCATGCGTTTCATACAAGTTCCATTGTGTTCTCACTCTTTCTTTCTTGATCTTCCCCCATCTTCTGCTGCCAAACATTCCGTTTACACTCACGTCATATACTACTTATAAATAGCTCGCACCACACTACGTCATATAAATGGTATCTAAGAATTAAAATTTCAGGGTGATCTATGTAAAACTTGTGAAGTATAAAACAGGATAGGGGTTGTTACTATCTAATCTTGCTTCATACTGCCTCAGGCGAATCTTCTGTATTCATGAGATAGATTTTAAGCCCCCAGTAGGATATTTGCTTTCATCCTTTGAATTTCGTAAACAATACACTCAATGCAAGAAGGTTGTGAGTAGGACTTCTCAGGCAAGAACTATCACATGCACTGTCATGTGAAAGCGATTGTATGGACAGAGAGAGAAATAATTGACTGTTCTTATTCTCGATTGTACCAATGTAGTGAAGGAGAACACAGGTTACTCAGTAAAATAGGAAAACCATATCGTAAATCGTTCATTGGTCAATATTATGACCGTGCTAGATATCAATGTCACGTAATTCAATGATATTTTTTATTAGTCGATCTGACTGTCAATGTCACAGACTTCAAAGTTGTTTCCTATTCGAACTAAATGTATAAATACGCATCATCTGTAACGTTTTATGACCCAGACCCTTGCCTTCTTCCGGAAGTGGACCACGTAATTTCTGGATTTTTTTAGAATACAGGTTCTACTGCCTATCAAGTCTTCTTCTTTTACTCAATATAGAATAACATGTCGTATTACCGGATCCTCGCTCCCGTTTTCTGACTAAGGCAAACTCGTAATAGTTTAAAATTCAAGCATATCAAATTGACATGTTCACACACGTGCATGCGTAATATTCACTAGAAAACAGATTGATCATTTAACTAAATTGAAAAAAAAAACCTACCTCTAAATGCTTTCTATGCAAACCACCGATAGTTCTGCACTGAATAGGAACTGGTATATATTTATCATTTTCACTAATATTAGTTGTATCATTGGTATTTTGTATAACACAGCCATTATCATCATCATTATTATTATGATCATCAAATTGTCGATCAGATTGTTTACCAGTTGCCCAACCGTAAATTGGTGAATTTGTACCAGTGGCTGACAGCGTAATCCATGATAGAGAAGTATCAGTGCTGGATTATATCATTTATAGAAAATGGAAGAGACAATAAATTTATATATCAGTCAGTCAGTCAGTCAGATGCAACGTAGAACTTCGTACGTAAGTACGTACATCAGTTCATGTCGCCATACCACATCAGCACACACAGATGTAATTGTCAATTCTAATCCAATAGTAGTAGAGGTAGTAAAAGTATTAGAAGTAATCGGAGAAGTTGGGATTATAAGATATTATTCAAGAAATATGTGATTCAGTGAGAAAAGTTTAGAAAGACAAAACTAGAGGGGTTGAAGAATTCAGAAGATTAGGATTTGAGAGAACACAAAGAATAAATGCACCGGCGCCATTGCGAACGGTTTTGAGCCATGTCATTCAAGGTCTCTAACCATCGATTATTATTGTCAATGACATCATGGATTTCTGCCATGTTTTAGTTTGGCCACCCTAAACTTTCTTGCAACCTACTCCTACACTACAAAACAAAGCTCGATGAGGCAGTCAGTGATTAGGCATAGGCAACACATGTCCCGTCCATCTCAAACGATGAAGTTTCATTACTTCATCTATTGACCTGCGACTCTTACCTAGCACCCGTTTCTTAATAAAGGCGTTGCCCACTGTTGGGGATGTTAGATCCCCAAAATTCGCTTGATAATGCCGTATTTTGGTTTTCACGTTTTGCCAGCATGGGCTGATCAGTTGACCTTGAGATTTCAATTCCCACCAGGAAAATCCATGGCTGTGATTGGCTGCAGTGTATTTTAGCATGCTATTTTATTAACTGTCTCAAGGACGTTCTTATGTTGTATAAATAAACGAGAGTTGTATGCTTGATTGTACTGTGATTGCTGGGTGTTTGTAGAATATACTTTCTACGCTTACAAAGACTTTTCACTTCAGCCTCGGATTCAAGGTAGCCTCCCTGGAAGCTGGTAATAGTCTCGTTCGCGTTTATCGACTAAGGTAAACTCGTAATAGCCTCAAGCATACTAAGTGACGAACTTATCACCACTCGGCTGTCCCACGATATACGAGCAATGCTTCGAAGACACCTATGATCGAAAACCAGTGACGTACGAATATCTTCTACTCTCACTGGCCATGTTGCACAGCCATAAAGTAAGACGGAGCGAACTACTGCGCAGTTCACTCGTCCTTTAGTCAGCAAACGGATATCTCCCTGCAACATGAGTGATCCAGGTATCAGTTAAAGTTGTCATATTAGATTAGCAAATCCAATAATAGCAGAGATAGTAGAAGTATTGTAGTGAAGGAGAACACAGGTGAGGACAACCGAATTATATTTATCGCAAATTACAGAGTTACTCAGTAAAATCAGAAAACCATATCGTAACCGATAATTTGCAAATCTTCAATCCATCATCATCAATCCATTGTCTGACATTTTCCACTATTCATGCGTTTCATACAAATTCCATTGTGTTCCTCCCACTCTTCCTCCTTTCTTGATCTTCCCCCATCTTCTGCTGCCAGACATTACGCTTTCACTCACGTCATATACTACTTATAAGTAGCTCGCACCACACAATGAGTTAAACAAACGTATTGTTTCATTCAAACAAAGACACTTCAACATACAAAAAAATAGATCAAAAATGAAAACGAAAAAACGAACAATCTACCCATGAATTGATAAATCTTTTTCAACATTTTGTATAAATTCATTTGAAGTATCCGTACGTTGTTGACCAGATGTGAATGAAGAAAAACTTTCAATCAGGAAAAACAAAATAGAAAAAAGAAACAGCATTAAACAAATCAATATCAAAAATGTACACTCGGTTAGACAGTTTGTAAATAAGACAATGACAATTAAAAACGATACTGTGTCAGTGTGTTAGATTTTCAAAAAAATCAAGTTATTATTTTTTACGTTATGTCCACACACACACACAAACAGAGTTAGCGACATAAAATTCAATCGATATTTAGGATTGTATTAAACACACTGTTAAATGATATTTAAAATCTCGAACCCTGAGGTTGATCTCATTCGACGTGTTTTTTGTAGATTATTTTATACTACTTAATATCATATCAGTAAACAGTTAAACCACTACAAAAACATTTCAGGCGCATGAAGTTACGTATATTATTGACATTTATTAACAGCATTTATATTACTAATCAATACAATTGGTTCCTTGATTTATTGTTTTGGTGATTATGAAACTGTTGTTAACAGTAAACAATTATCAGTTACATTTTTTTCCGATTCAGTAAAACCGTTCTCTTTCTAGAGTGTCTTATAAGTTCAAGTTTGCACCCTATTTACGTTTACTCCTTAAAAAAAGGGAACCGTCCTTTAAAAACATTTTTTTTATTCTCAGCACTGCAAAAACTTTCGATCAGTCAAACGCTTCGTTGGATTCAGTAAACACAAAGTATGAGATCCTGTGATTATTTTGAAATTATTAAACCCAGAAAACTATAAACCGATTAACGAACTCCAACGCATAGAAAAAAAAGGGAATTTTTTATTAAATAATCTTGTGAAAAAATTTTCTACAAATTTGTTTTCACTGATTACGTAACAAAAAAAAATCAAAGTTAAAATTTAAAAAAACAATGGAGATGTCAGTTTTTTTTAAAAAAATAGAAGAAACTTTAGAGTGCCAAAATTTTCAACATGAAACAGATAAGCAGAAACAGTGATGTACACATTTTTTTAAGAATCTATAAACAAGAAAAAAAATTCCAAAGTGAGAATTGAAACTCGGAGATGCTTCCTCAAGAAGCTAGTCAATAATTTCCAAATACTTCCAAGTTTCTACCAATGGTCTAACATTGATCGACACATACAGATAGATAACTGTGTTAGAAAAACCACAACTTATTTATCACCTATCTAATTGATTTCAATTATCAATAATGACAAGCGAAATGGGTTTCAAATAAGAATTTCAACTATATTTTCGAAAATAAGGAATAACCAAGCAAATTAGGTCAATTATTACGGAAAATATATGTTGTCTTCAGTGATAATGTTTCAATTTATCAACACAACCTATTCAATTGTTTAATTTGGATGAGTGAGTATTAATAATTAGGTGAGTAATGAGACACCAAAATCATAATTAAAAATCAATAAATTTAACAACGATTATATGTTATGTTACACAGGATTACATAATCAGCAATTTGTAATTTCAATATCACAATTTACAAAGATAAAAGAAAATTCATTTTTATATCACTGGGGGGAGCGTCAAAGTTCCGGCGAATCCATGAGAAATTATTAGTCTTGTTAAACAGTAAAATAAGAGCCATTAGAAACAAGTCAAATTTATATAATCGGTGAAGACGAGGTAGTCAGTAGGAAGATTTTTAACAAAAGTGAGGAACGAAACAAAATTTATCGAAAATAAGTTCACAAAAACACAATACACAATTAAGTAAAGCAGTACATCTATCTATCTATCTATCAACAACAATTTAGACATTTGATAAAACAAACAGATCTACCACGTTTGTTTCGATTATATCTGTAACAATTAACGAAAAAAAATATATCAAAGTTGAAAAATCATGTCATCATTAAAATCTCGATCACTTGATTACCAAGACATGAAAAGATTTTCCAGTAGAATTGGATTACTCCAAGTGTAACATGGAAAAAAACAAAATTGCAGAGGCGCCGAATCCATAACCAAAAAAAACGGGATCGTAAAAACAAAATCAATATACTGGATTCAAAAGTGTCAGTCAGTAATAAATCATCAAGTTGCAGAGCGGAAATGCATTGGTTAGGTAGGTAGGTAGGTATATCAAAGAAATAACAACTGCACGAAACCAAAATTCAGTCACATTTTTTGTACTACTAAATCAATTTGTGAGTAGTATAAAATTAAACATCTCAATAATGCGCGAAAAATATTGTTAGCAGTGTGTATGGGGCTGTAACAACTGTGCAAGGGTTACAGACTACTTTTATCACACACACACACACACACACACACACACACACACAAGTATAATTGATGAATAAACCTGAATTCACCGTTTAATCATGGTCATATCGTAATTCATACACATTTAGAAGATAAGGATAAAGTTAACGAGCAACATTGAATTCAATCAGATGTGCGCGCATTTTTTTCAAATATTTCTTTCAGTGCATATATAGAAAAATCAGAATTAAACAAGGCAATAATGTTTGTTGATTAAGACAAAATAAAGAAAGCCCAAAATAAAAACTTCAAAAAAGTCAACCTGAAAAAATAATTTAGTCAATATTATAGATAAATGCAGGAATACTATTATGAATCGATATTAATAATTGTAGTTTTCGATTGTAGACGTTTTTGTACAAACTTCCTATAGCTAAATTAAATAAATGAAAGAAAAGCGTGAAGAATAATGAAACACAGTGAGAGAGATAGAGAGAGAGGGATATGTAAATGCAAATTAGACGTGTAACAATGACAAATTATCTGTAATAAAGAATGTTATACGAATTGAATGAAAATGAATGAGAGGGAGATTTAGGGAAAAAAAAGGATATTTTTTTTCAAAAATGATAAACGGAAATCCATTTCAAATTCGATTATATTTATTAGAAGTGGAAAATACTGCTTAACACAATGAACTGTGAGATGTATATAGGCGAATCAAATAGGATGGATGAAACGCGCACATCCTGAAGGATAACCTTTAGTTACATTGTTTCATTTCAAGAAACTGAATCCATTTCTCGAATAAAAATTCAGGTAAATTTGAATACACAAGGTATAAAACGTTTTATAGGGAAATAATCATCAACAGCAGCATAGAACTCTGAACGTAAGTACGGCAGTTCAAGTTGCCATACCACACATTAGCACAGAGACACAACTGTCAGTTCAAATCCCATAGTTAATAGAGAAAGTAGAAGTATTAACGGTAATGGAGAAGATTAAGGGTTCGAAGATATGATTCCAGAAGTATAATTCGGTGCGATAAATTTAGAAAGAGAAAGATAGAGATAATGGGGAAATCAGAAGGTTAGAATTTGAAGAGTGGATGCACCTGTGCCATAGCAAACGATTTTGAACCATGTCATTCAAAGCTTTTTAACCATTGGTGACTTTCGTCTCACGGACCCTAACCAGGTAGTGTACATCTCTCTACTAACATGAGTCAGTCCACTTGTCAATGATTTCATGGATATGTACCATGTTTCGGTTGGGCAGACCCTAGCTTTTTTCTAACCTACTCCTACACCAACCACTATGAGATGCATGGAAACTCAGATGGTGAAGAGCTGCAAATAAGATTAAAAGCGCATTTTCTTCCATTTAACGAAACTTTATCCTCATGTGTAAGAACATTTAGGTAAATTTGAAGCAAAAAAAAGTACAAAACACTGTCTAGGGAAATAAAATCAACCATCAACATTATCCAATAGAAATAGATAGATCAGTAATTTTTATCGATCAGTTAAACATCTTAACTAAACGTGTAGGAAATGAGATTTAATTTTCGAGTATTACTATAGATACTACAGTAAGTCAGTTAATCATTACCAACGTAGAACTTGGTGCGTACTTACTGATATCAGTTCAAGTTGCCTTACTGTATTAGCACAGAGAGATGGAAATATCAATGTAAATTCTAGCCTAGCAAAAGTTAGTAGCAGAATTAGCGGTAATCGAAAAGAAATTACAGTTCGAAGATAAGTTTATTCCAGTGGAATAAATTTGAAATGAGAAGAAACTTTCATGAAGTATTCAAACGACTGGAATTTAAGGAAAGACAAAGAATGAACGAATAGGCGACGACACGAATCACTTTCAGGAATATTTTAATGACACATGTGGCATGTTTAAATTTGGCCGCCCCAATGATTTTTACAACCTACTACTCCATCAACCAACATCGCTCATTGATGTTCGAAAATACATTTCGTGAAGTATAATCCAGTGAGATAAATTTAGAAAGAGAAATAAAAGTCATTAGCCATTGAGAAGAGTACAATTTGAGAAAACTAGAATGTATGCATCTACACCACTACTATCGATTTTAAGCCATGCCATTCAATCTCTTCTAACCATCAGTAGTTTAGACCTACTAACACAGGTTAGCTCAGTTATCGATGACTTCATGGACGCACTGGAAGGCCGTTTCGTCCTGGTATGGGACTCATAAGTGGCAGTGCGCATCCACAACTCCTGCACCTCCCACGATTCAAGGTATTGTGTGCGAAC